GGAAGCTGGTGGCCAGGGTACACAGTCTGGCAGGTCTGAGTCAAGCCTCATACTGTGCCAGGCCCCTGGCAGTCAGCAGCACCACACGGAGCCCCAGCCCTGCTGTGGCCCTGCCACCGTGAGCACCTAAGGTTACCTGTCTGGAGCTCATACAGCTCTGAGGCCTGCAGTCCAGCTGAACTGATATGGAAGGCTGGTCACTGCCCCCAGAGCTGAGGCCTGGTCACAGCCAAGACCCCAACAGAACGGACAGAAAGGGCACCGTGCCGGCTGCCAGCTGTGCATGTGCAGCACCAGCCAGACATACCAGCACAGACCATCCCCATGGCCCAGCAAGGCCCAGAGGGAAACAGAGTCAGCTGACAGGTGACCCGCTGAAGCTATCACTCCTTACCTACCAGCTCTCTGCTGTATGTTTGGAAAATTCTGTAATAAAAGGTTAGAGAGAGGTACTCTCTGGAAACCACACACTTGAGGTTAGGACTCGATCCCAAGCCCCGACTCCACAGGCAACAGCTCATGTTCCAGCATGCAAGGGTGCTATGGTGCGAGTGTTTGACTCCTCCTAAAATTCCTAGGTTGAAATCCTAACCCCTACGGGGATGGTATTAAGATGCAGGGCCTTTGGGGATGACTAGGTCAGGAGGCAGAGCTCTAATGATCAGCTCAGTGCCCTTAAAAACGGGACCCCGAAGAACTAGCCCAGCTCTTCCACCACGTGAGGCCACAGTGAGTAGGAGCTGTCAGTGGGCCGGAGGCGGCCCTCACGAGAGAGCTGGGGAGGAGGCAGCTGTCTCCCCCATCTCCATCTGGAACTTTCCGGCACCAGAAGTGTGAGAAACACATTCCGCTGTTTCACCTTTCTGGTCTGTGGTGTACTGTTACAGTGGTCCAAAAGGACTCAAACGGGGGGCTTACGATGACTGCAGTAAGTTATTTTTTACCATCTTCTTTCTTTTATTTGAGACAGAGTCTCGCTCTGTCGCCAGGCTGGAGGGCAGTGGCGCGATCTCAGCTCACTGCAAGCTCCGCCACCCGGGTTCAAGCAATTCTCCTGCCTCAGCCTCTTGAGTAGCTGGGATTACAGGCGCACGCCACCGCACCCAGCTAATTTTTTGTATTGTTAGTAGAGACAGGGTTTCACCCTGTTGGCCAGGATGGTCTCAAACTCCTAACCTCGTGATCCGCCCACCTCGGCCTCCCAAGGTGCTGAGATACAGGCATGAGCCACTGGGCCTGGCCAAAGATGTTATTAATAAACAGATATTCACATAGAAACCAACTACTAATTAGCTAACCATAGCCTGTGAGTCTTCTTAGACTTCCAACGAATGAATTCTAAAAGTAAACTCAGGCTGGGTGCCGTGGCTCATGCCTGTAGTAATCCCAGCACTTTGGGAGGCCAAAGCAGGTAGATCACTTGAGCCCAGAAGTTCAAGACCAGCCTGGGCAGCATAGTGATATCCAATTGCTAAAATAAATAAATAATCAGCCGGGTGTGGTGGTGCAAGCCTGTAGTCCCAGCCAAGGCAGGAGGACTGCTTGAGCTTGGAAGGTTGAAGCTGCAGTGGGCCATGATTTTGCCACTGCAGTCCAGCCTGCGCAACAACAGAGCAAGACCCTGTCTCAAAAAAAAAAAAGATTCGAGGCATATCAGCACCTACACGTAAAGTATAAAGCCATAAAGCTTCTAGAGGAAAACACAAGAGTATCTTCAGACCTTGGAGTAGGTAAGAATTTCTTGAACAAGTCACAAACAGCCTTAACCATAAAAACTGATATACTGGGACTTCACTAAAATTAAGACATTTCTGGCAGGGTGCAGTGGCTCACATCTGTCATCCCAGCACTTTGGGAGGTTGAGGTGGGAGGATCACTGGAGCCCAGGAGTTGAAGACAAACCTGACCAACATGGTGAGACCCCCCATCTCTATTTTGAAAAAAAAGAATTGGCTGGACGCAGTGGCTCACGCCTGTAATCACAACACTTTTGGAGGCCGAGGGGTGCAGATCACGAGGTCAAGAGATCGAGACCATCCTGACCAACATGGTGAAACCCCGTCTCTATTAAAAAATACAAACATTAGCCGGGCATGGTGGCGTGCACCTGTAATCCCAGCTACTCGGGAGGCTGAGGCAGAAGAATTGCTTGCACCCGGGAGGCAGAGGTTGCAGTGAGCCAAGATCACACCACTGCATTCCAGTCTGGCAACAGAGTGAGACTCCACGTCAAAAAAAAAAAAAAATTAAAAAATGAGTGGATGTGGCCGGGCACAGTGGCTCAAGCCTGTAATCCCAGCACTTTGGGAGGCTGAGGTGGGTGGATCACGAGGTCAGGAGATTGAGACCATCCTGGCTAATACAGTGAAACCCTGTCTCTATTAAAAATACCAAAAAATTAGCCGGGTGTGGTGGTACGCGTCTGTAGTCAAAGCTACTCAGGAGGCTGAGGCAGGAAAATGGCATGAACCTGGAAGGCGGAGCTTGCAGTGAGCCGAGATTGCGCCACTGCACTCTAGCCTAGGCGACAAAGCGAGACTCCATCTCAAAAAAAAGAAAAATAAAAAAAATGAGTGGATGTGGTGGCATGTACACGTGATCCCAACTACACAGGAGGCTGAAGTAAGAGGGCAGCTTTAGTTTAGGAGGTTGAGGCTGCAGGGAGCAGCGACTGCACCACTGCACTCCAGCCCAGGCCACAGAGTGAGACCCAGTCTCAAAAAAAAAAAATTCAGAGGTTTCTGTTCATCAAAAGACAACATTAAGAGAGTGAGACAAGCTATAGACATGGGAGGAGGATCGAAACATGTACATCCAACAAAGGACTTAAATCCATAATATATAAAGAACTTCTACAAATCTGTAAGAAAAAGAAACTCAATCTTAAAAAAGCAAACATGTACAAAAGATGCCAATAGGCACTTCACAGAGAAAGGATGTCCAAACGGCCAAGAAGCATGAGAAAAGGTTGTGGCCATAATTACTCACCAAGGAAAGCAAATTAAAGCCACAGTGAGTGTGCCACACACCTACCAGAAAGACAATTGGAAAGGCTGACAATGCCACATGTGAACAAGGCTGTGGGGCCACTGGGACTCTCCTGCACTGCTTCCTGGTGGGAAGATGAACTGGTACAACCACTACAGAAAACCCTGTGGCCCGATCTAATGATGAGCATGTCCAGATCTCAGGACCCAGAAACCCATTCGCAAGTAAACTCCCAAGAGGAGGGGGCACCCGTGTCCACCAAAGGGCCATGTGCAAGACACACACAGCAGCTGCCTATGCACAGCCAAGAATGGAAACACCCCAAATGGAGATCAATTGTGGTCTATCCATACCATAAAATACAACATTGCAATAAAAAATAAACTACTGATATGCTCCAAAAAAGTACGTTCTAGAACAGCTAAAACCCGGAACACTGGCGAACCAGATGCTGAGGAGTGGAGCCACAGGAGCTCTCCTTCCTTGCTGGTGGGAGCACAAAATGGCTCAGGTGCTTTGGAAAAGGGTTTGGCAGTTTCTTACAAAACTAAGCATACTCTCACTATACGGTCCAGCAATCACCCAGAAAAACCTGCACATGATGTTTATGGCAGCTTCACTCATAATCGCCCAAGCCCAGATGCCCCTCAGCAAGCAGGTGAAAGGATAAACCAACTGTGGCGCACCTAGGCAGTGGAATATTACTCACCACTGAAGAGAAAGAGGCCGCAAGCTGTGCAGAGACCTGGAGGACAGTTAAATGCCCGTGGCTGAGTGACAGGCTGCACAGTGACAGGATGCACAGTGTGTGACTCCAGCTCTACAACCACATGACCAAGCGCCAGCGAAAAGATCACAGGGGAAGGAGGAATGAATGGGTGGAGCTCAGGGGATTTTTAGAACACTGAAAGCAATCTGTATGAAACTGTAACAGTGGTTACCCGTCACTATATTCGTCTAAACTCACAGAACATGCACTGCCCAGCGTGAGCCTGGGTGTGTGGTGGAAGCTGTGTGATCCTGAGCCCGGGTGTGCAGGTAGAGGCTGTGTGATCCTGAGCCCGGGTGTGCGGATACAGTCTGTGTGATCCTGAGCCCAGGTGTGCAGGTGGAAGCTGTGTGATGCAGGCCCAGGTGTGTGGATACAGTCTGTGTGATCCTGAGCCCAGGTGTGCAGGTAGAGGCTGTGTGATCCTGAGCCACAGGTGTCTCGGATGCAGTCTGTGTGATCCTGAGCCCGGGTGTGCGGATACAGTCTGTGGCGCGTCCTGAGCCCGGGTGTGCGGATACAGTCTGTATGATCCTGAGCCTGGGTGTCACGGACACAGTCTGTGATCCACAGGCCTTGGAGTGTGCAGGTGGAAGCTGTGTGATCCTGAGCCCAGGTGTGCGGATACAGTCTGTGTGATCCTGAGCCCGGGTGTGCAGGTGGAAGCTGTGTGATCCTGAGCCCAGGTGTGCGGATACAGTCTGTGTGATCCACCAGGCCCAGAGTGTGCAGGTGAAGCTGTGTGATGCAGAAGCCCGGGTGTGCGGATACAGTCTGTGCTGATCCTGAGCCCAGGTGTGCGGATACAGTCTGTGTGATCCTGAGCCTGGGTGTGTGGATACAGTCTGTGTGATCCTGAGCCCGGGTGTGCAGGTAGAGGCTGTGTGATCCTGAGCCCGGGTGTGCGGATACAGTCTGTGTGATCCTGAGCCGGGCCTGCCGGATACAGTCTGTGTGATCCTGAGCCCGGGTGTGCGGAGTACAGTCAGCCCAGGTGTGCAGGTGGAAGCTGTGTGATCCTGAGCCCAGGTGTGTGGATACAGTCTGTGTGATCCTGAGCCCAGGTGTGCAGGTAGAGGCTGTGTGATCCTGAGCCTGGGTGTGCGGATACAGTCTGTGTGATCCTGAGCCCGGGTGTGCGGATACAGTCTGTATGATCCTGAGCCTGGGTGTACGGATACAGTCTGTGTGATCCTGAGCCCAGGTGTGCAGGTGGAAGCTGTGTGATCCTGAGCCCAGGTGTGCGGATACAGTCTGTGTGATCCTGAGCCCGGGTGTGCAGGTGGAAGCTGTGTGATCCTGAGCCCAGGTGTGCGGATACAGTCTGTGTGATCCTGAGCCCAGGTGTGCAGGTAACTCACAGAACATGCACTGCCCAGCGTGAGCCTGGGTGTGTGGTGGAAGCTGTGTGATCCTGAGCCCGGTGTGCAGAGGCTGTGATCCTGAGCCCGGTGGTGGATACAGTCTGTGTGGATCCTGAGCCCAGGTGTGCAGGTGGCTGTGTGGATCCTGAGCCCAGGTGTGTGGATACAGTCTGTGTGGATCCTGAGCCCAGGTGCAGGTAGAGGCTGTGTGATCCTGAGCCTGGGTGTGCTGATGTCTGTGTGGATCCTGAGCCCGGGTGTGTGCGGATACAGTCTGTGTGATCCTGAGCCCGGGTGTGCGGATACAGTCTGTATGATCCTGAGCCTGGGTGTACGGATACAGTCTGTGTGATCCTGAGCCCAGGTGTGCAGGTGGAAGCTGTGTGATCCTGAGCCCAGGTGTGCGGATACAGTCTGTGTGATCCTGAGCCCGGGTGTGCAGGTGGAAGCTGTGTGATCCTGAGCCCAGGTGTGCGGATAGCCCAGTGGATCCTGAGCCCAGGTGTGCAGGTGGAAGCTGTGTGATCCTGAGCCCGGGTGTGCGGATAAGGTCTGTGTGTGATCCTGAGCCCAGGTGTGCGGATACAGTCTGTGTGATCCTGAGCCTGGGTGTGTGGATACAGTCTGGGTGTGGATCCTGAGCCCGGTGTGCAGGTAGAGGCTGTGTGATCCTGAGCTCCGGGTGTGCGGATACAGTCTGTGTGTGGATCCTGGAGCCCGGTGTGGATACAGTCTGTGTGATCCTGAGCCCGGGTAAAGTGGTACAGTCTGTGTGATCCTGAGCTCCGGGCAGTGTGCGGATACAGTCTGGGTGTGATCCTGAGCCTGGGTGCGGATACAGTCTGTGTGATCCTTGAGCCCGGGTGTGCGGATACAGTCTGTGTGGGATCCTGAGTTCAAGCCAGCGGATACAGTCTGTGTGATCCTGAGCCCGGGTGTGCGGATACAGTCTGTGTGATCCTGAGCCTGGGTGTGCGGATACAGTCTGTGTGATCCTGAGCCCGGGTGTGCAGGTAGAGGCTGTGTGATCCTGAGCCCGGGTGTGCGGATACAGTCTGTGTGATCCTGAGCCCGGGTGTGCGGATACAGTCTGTGTGATCCTGAGCCCGGGTGTGCAGGTAGAGGCTGTGTGATCCTGAGCCTGGGTGTGCGGATACAGTCTGTGTGATCCTGAGCCCGGGTGTGCGGATACAGTCTGTGTGATCCTGAGCCTGGGTGTGCAGGTGGAGGCTCTGTGATCCTGAGCCTGGGTGTGTGGATACAGCTTGCATGATCCTGAGCCTGGTGTGCAGATGGAGGATGCATAATCCTGAGCCCAGGTGTGCAGACAGACTGTTCTTGCAATAGTTTTCTGAGAATGATGGTTTCCAGCTGCATCCATGTCCCTACAAAGGACATAAACTCATCCTTTTTTATGACTGCATAGTATTCCATGGTGTGTATGTGCCACATTTTCTTAATCCAGTCTGTCACTGATGGACATTTGGGTTGATTCCAAGTCTTTGCTATTGTGAATAGTGCCGCAATAAACATACGTGTGCATGTGTCTTTATAGCAGCATGATTTATAATCCTTTGGGTATATACCCAGTAATGGGATGGCTGGGTCATATGGTACTTCTAGTTCTAGATCCTTGAGAAATCGCCATACTGTTTTCCATGATGGTTGAACTAGTTTACAATCCCACCAACAGTGTAAAAGTGTTCCTATTTCTCCACATCCTCTCCAGCACCTGTTGTTTCCTGACTTTTTAATGATCGCCATTCTAACTGGTGTGAGATGGTATCTCATTGTGGTTTTGATTTGCATTTCTCTGATGGCCAGTGATGATGAGCATTTTTTCATGTGTCTGTTGGTTGTATGAATGTCCTCTTTTGAGAACTGTCTGTTCATATCCTTTGCCCACTTTTTGATGGGGTTGTTTTTTTTTTTCTTGTAAATTTGTTTGAGTTCTTTGTAGGTTCTGGATATTAGCCCTTTGTCTGATGAGTAGATTGCAAAAATTTTCTCCCATTCTGCAGGTTGCCTGTTCACTCTGATGGTAGTTTCTTTTGCTGTGCAGAAGCTCTTTAGTTTAATTAGATCCCATTTGTCAATTTTGGCTTTTGTTGCCGTTGCTTTTGGTGTTTTAGACGTGAAGACCTTGCCCATGCCTATGTCCTGAATGGTATTACCTAGGTTTTCTTCTAGGGTTTTTATGGTATTAGGTCTAACATTTAAGTCTCTAATCCATCTTGAATTAATTTTCGTATTATGAGTAAGGAAAGGATCTAGTTTCAGCTTTCTACTTACGGCTAGCCAATTTCCCCAGCACCATTTATTAAATAGGGAATCCTTTCCCCATTTCTTGTTTTTCTCAGGTTTGTCAAAGATCAGATGGTTGTAGATGTGTGGTATTATTTCTGAGGACTCTGTTCCGTTCCATTGGTCTATCTCTCTGTTTTGGTACCAGTACCATGCTGTTTTGGTTACCGTAGCCTTGTAGTATAGTTTGAAGTCAGGTAGCGTGATGCCTCCAGCTTTCTTCTTTTGACTTACGATTGTCTTGGAGATGCGGGCTCTTTTTTGGTTCCATATGAACTTTAAAGCAGTTTTTTCCAATTCTGTGAAGAAACTCATTGGTAGCTTGATGGGGATGGCATTGAATCTATAAATTACCTTGGGCAGTATGGCCATTTTCACGATATTGATTCTTCCTATCCATGAGCATGGTATGTTCTTCCATTCATGCTAAAAACTCTCAATAAATTTGGTATTGATGGAACACATCTCAAAATCATAAGAGCTATTTATGACAAACCCACAGCCAATATCATACTGAATGGGCAAAAACTGGAAAAATTCCCTTTGAAAACTGGCACAAGACAGGGATGCCCTCTCTCACCACTCCTATTCAACATAGTGTTGGAAGTTCTGACTAGGGCAATCAGGCAAGAGAAAGAAATCAAGGGTATTCAGTTAGGAAAAGAAGAAGTCAAATTGTCCCTGTTTGCAGATGACATGATTGTATATTTAGAAAACCCCATTGTCTCAGCCCAAAATCTCCTTAAGCTGATAAGAAACTTCAGCAAAGTCTCAGGATACAAAATTAATGTGCAAAAATCACAAGTGTTCTTATACACCAGTAACAGACACACAGAGAGTCAAATCATGAATGAACTTCCATTCACAACTGCTTCAAAGAGAATAAAATACCTAGGAATCCAACTTACAAGGGATGTAAAGGACCTCTTCAAGGAGAACTATAAACCACTGCTAAGGAAAGGGTTTTTTAAAGGTAAGATAAATACGGCTGGGTGTGGTGGCTCATGCCTCTAATTCAAGCACTTTGGGAGGCCGAGGCGGGTGGATCACCTGAGGTCAGTAGTTCGAGATAAGCCTGGCCAACATGGCTAAACCCTGTCTCTACTAAAAATACAAAAATTAGCCAGGCATGGTGGTGAGCGCTTGTAACTCCAGCTACTCGGGAGGCTGAGGCAGGAGAGTCGCTTGAACCCAGGAGGCGGAGGTTACAGCGAGCCCAGATCATGCCACTGCACTCCAGCCTGGGCGACAGAGCAAGACTCCGTCTCAAAAAACAAACAAACAAACAAAAAAAGGTAAGATAAATATGAACTACAAAATAAGAGGCAGGAAGAGCCCAACGTATCAGAAATGTGCCAACTATAATGGGCCAAAATCCCCTCTTGTCTCCAGAAGTATCTGAAAAATACGTTAGGATCTGCCCCATAGACCCACTCCCAGGACACTCGACAGCAAGGAGGTATGGCAGGCCTAACCCCTAGGGCAGAGAAGGGCATCACTGCCACAGCAGGGGACCTGACTGGCAGCAGAAGGGACAACTCTGGCGAAAGTCCGCAGGAAATAGGACAGGGGCTGGACTGACAGCCTCCCTCAGCCCCACACCCCACCCAGGCAGGAGCAGTGCCTGGCCCAGGGCAGGTGGGTGGGAGAGCTCATTGAGTGGGTAGCAGCAGGGCACGGCCCCTGCCACAGGTACCCGGGCTGCGGCCGCAGATCCCTAGGTAGGAGCCCAGGTACAAAGGTTGGCATAGGGTACCCCAGAACCACCCAACCCAGTAAGATTCAACAGGTGTGGGGGCCCTGCAGCTTCCCCCACACAGTGAGTAGGGTCCACGGGGCCTCCTGGGCCTGCACGGCCACAATCTTCACTGACACTCACCCCTAATTAGGGAGGCTGTATGTTCCATTTTCATTTCTTTCTTGAACCAAAGGTATTTAAAGGGTTTTGAAAGGTAAGATGAGCTATTTCTCTTTCTCTGTTGTTGGTTTCCAATCTTATTGTAATGCACGTGTCTGCACGGACACTACTCTTTGCAATTTGTTTAGGTCTGAAGCATGACTAACTCTAGTAAAGGTACCACGAGTTTTTGGGAAAATACAGACTATATTCTCTGTGGAGAACAAAGCTCTGCATAAGGAGAAAATCTCGAAGTCAGTAGAAGAAAAAAAGGAGATAGCCTGGTGGCACCAGAAGCAGTGGGCAGAGCTGGGCCCCAACCCAGGCAGCCTGAAGGTCAGGAGGGCCCCTGGGCAGTGCAGCCCAGCCTCCGCCCGGAGGAACTGTAAATGTGCATGCCAGTAAGAGCCTTGAAACTGACAAAACTATAGGTAGGAGAGGACAAATGCCGTCACCGTGCCAGGTCTTCATGCACACTCTTGGTGACAGACAGAACCAGCCAATGGGGAGGAGGGACGCGCTGCGCTGCACCAGCTTCCTGCAGGAAATGCATTCAAGTGCCCAACACACACGCACTTCCACAAAACTGGCCTTCCACCGGGCCACAGAGCACGGCTCGAAGCATTTCAGAAGACTGAACTCACACAGAGGGTGCTCTCTACTGCAGAAGAATCACGCCGGCAGTCCGGAAGAAAGGCGCGGACTGTACTCCTCTACTAGTAAGTCCATGGCGGGGCAAGGAAACAAGCACGATGGAAGCGTAAGAATCCATCCACTCTGCTGTGAGGGATCACTGCAAGCCCAAAGACCCCTGCCAGCCTAGGCGTGTTGGTGCTGGCCACCCGTCGGCAGCAGCAGCCAGGAGCAGAGGCAGGTGCTCAAGAGCCCAGCCTCCTGGAGATGGTACAGGAGAAAACGGCCAGGGTGATGTGCTGTCCACACAGAGATGTTCTACCTGTCCCAGCCGCCTTCCAGCACGCAGACCAAGGCTGCAGGACATGGCTGCACAAATCACAAGGATCCCTCACGTGGTCCTCACATTCCTGAGAGTGTACTCAATGAAACAGTGAAGCCAAAGAGGTCCTAGCACACAGTATCCCTGCCTGGACTGACCCACAGCCAACCCACACTCAACAGTGAAGACTGGATGCTTCCCCAGGATCAAGGACAAGAGGATGTCTGTTCACACCACTGCTATTCAACGTGGTAAACAAACAAAAAACAAGCACTAGATTGGAAAGGAAAGATAACACGATCTTGTACATAAAATCCTAAGCAACCCGCTAAAAAACTCTTTTTTTTTTTTCTTTTTTTTTGAGACGGAGTCTCGCTCTGTCGCCCAGGCTGGAGTGCAGTGGCACAATCTCGGCTCACCGCAACCTCCGCATCAGGGGTTCACGCCATTCTCCTG